CCTTAGCAAAGCAGTAAATAAATCTAGAACCAAGGGAGGTTGGGTATCAGAGGTTCTTAGCAAAGCAGTAAATAAATCTAGAACCAAGGAACGTTGGGTATCAGAGGTTCTTAGCAAAGCAATAAATAAATCTAGAACCAAGGGACATTGGGTATCAGAGGTCCTCAGCAAAGCAATAAATAAATCTAGAACCAAGGGAGGTGAACATTTTCATTGGGTGCCTTGGAAAATGTCAAATCTGCCATGCTGGATCTGGACCTGCTTGCTTATCTAAATTTATAATATTTATCATTTCTTTCCATCAACTCTTTCAGTCAGCATGTTTAATTCTATCTCGTTAGACAAGCCATGCATATTAATAAAATAGAATATTTCAAAGCTGATTACCATGCAGAACTGAAAATGTTTTTGTATGCATCTCAAAAGGGCACCAGCCTTATGGCACTTCATTGCCAACCCTCCACACTGCTAAATACCAAAGGTTGCCCAGGTGCAGACGCTGGAGAGACCCCATTCAAAAGTTTTAGCTTTTTGTAAGGTATCATGAGAAGGGTGCAAATGCAGCTTGTCTCAGAATTAATCTCTTGTCATACCTGATCTGAATCTTTTGCTTGCTTTTATGGGGGCTTTAAGAATTGAGATCTGCTCTTCACTCCCAACGGATACCGGGTGTAGGTCCATTCCCCCACCCATCCTTTTATTTAAGAGCATTAAATAGCCAGAATTTCAGAAATCCTATTCTACAGGGAATGGGATTCTAATAAATCAGCCCATTCCTTGGCAAGATATGAAATTCAAGAATGGCACTCTTTTTTTTTTTGATGCTGCTGATGATATGACTCAGAAGTAGATATTTACTGAGTTCTCTAGGTCTCCCGCAAAGTAATCAAGTCTAGATTTCTTCTTGACACAATCTTCAATCGGAGACAAATCTAGAGTGGTGGAGTTCCATCAGTACGCTGATGACACTCAGCTGTACATCTCCACCCCAGGTCACCCCAACGATGCCCTTGACATGATGTCCCGTTGCCTGGAGGCCGTACGGGTCTGGATGGGGAGGAACAGACTCAGACTCAACCCTTCCAAGACCGAGTGGCTGTGGTTGCCGGCGCCCCGGCATAGTCAGCTGATTCCATCGCTGTCTATAGGGGGCGAAACTTTGGCCCCCTCAGAGAGGGCGCGCAACTTGGGTGTCCTCCTGGATCCACGGCTGACACTGGA